GATATACATAAATCCAGGCCCTCTGGACATGGGAAAAAAAATTCTACAGGGCATTTTTTGCATATCACCATAATTTGATGGTCTGTGATTTCTCAAGAAAACAGAAATGTGAGAAACATGATGACAGTCGAGTCTAATTCCAGAATTCTTTTGACTATGTTGTAGTTGCTACTTGCGAGTACTGCACATAAAAATAACTTTCCTCGACCTAAAGGAAAAGGGAAATTTATATTTTTTTGCTGTGAGGTGAAACCCCTCTGCATCACTAAGCAATATAAAGCTAAAATTTACTTTATACACGGCTCTGCATGACAGGATATTTGTGAACGTGTGTTCAAGAGGCAGATGCGGGTTTAATAAAGCCAGTATGACTTGAGGATAATTTGAAAAGATCTCTCCTATGATAACAACAACGTACAATGTATTAAGGCACAAATGCTGTTGTAGCCCTCTGGGTGATAGCTACAATAAGACAAGGTCATCCTATGGCCTATGCCAGCTACTCTGAGCACAACAGCAGAATCTTTGTAATGCATGTGATCCTCTGTCCTAACCCAGAATCACATGGAAACTTTCCTGCCCCAGTGTTCAGACCAGAATAACTCTGAAAAATTGGACAAAGACAGCTGGACTTCAGAAATAATAAATGAAAAACAAAAGAATCTTTTCCAATATCATCAGGTAGAAGAAAATGCATGTGAGCTATTAAAGATATAGAACCATCGGGAAAAACAGCAACAAGACTGGGTTTTATAAACACCTTTGTGGGTGGAACTTGATTATTACTCTAATTTTTAATTTCCTGAACATCAAGAAACATTTTCTGCTTTCAAACTTCACACAACTGAGCTGACAAGACACCTTGGGCAATAGGTGCATTGTTTATAATCACTAATTGTCTGTCTTATCCTTGATGGATAAATTTTATAAATCAGGCTAATTAGCACTTAAGATCCTAATTAGCCATGCCCTGCTCACTTCACAATGCGAAACTGTTCAGCAACAAACTCTAGGGTAGGCTGTTCCAGCTTCTTGACCAAAGGAGATGAGGTTATACTACTGGTACTTTAGGGGCCAGACAGCAAAACCACCTTGTAGTGTTATGGTAAGGTGAAAGATAACATCAAGGCGGGACAGAACTGACCTGTGAGCAACCCAGGGAGAGCTCTAACAGTTTAAGAACAGAGATAAAAGTCTGAAAACCAGAAGTTTTCTGGTTTCTATTCTCAGATAAGTAAATGATACGCCATGTGGAAAACATTGAGGACGATGTTGTTGGTTACTTCTTCCCCCCAGATTCCCTACCTACAAATACGGCTGCCTACACATACACAGCTACATGAGCAAGGGCTGAGTTTCCAAGATTTCATCAGCATTTCAAAGAATCTGAAACCTCTGATTTCTGCAAAACAAACTGCAGTTTAAGGAGCCTGGCCATATCCTCGTCTCCATGTTTGCTAACGTACCTCACAGGGTCCTTGTGAGAATTCACTAGCTGTGACAGGAGTTCACACAAAAAGGTATTCAGCATGGCTCACAGCCCATCTATTTCTACTCCTATAATCATGGGTAACAGAACCGGACCTTATACTCCCTTTTTTACTTGATACAAGAGTATGCAGATCAGAGCAAGCTAAGAAGATGATTAGAGGGACTCTGAAAGGCATGCTACAGATGCATCTTCTCTTACCTCCTGCGGTATTCTGTCTCCAAAGAAACTTAGAGACTGCCTTAGAAGTAGTATCTTCAACTCCCTCCTATCTATATGTTTATTAAACACACATATGTCTTTTTCCAGAGGGACAATAGCAATGCTTGACTTCTTACATCAGAGAGTCCTATCTTCAGCCTCCACATGTTACACCCAGTCATTTATAAAAGATGTCTTTTTTTCCTTCCGGAAACTGGCAGGCAGTTTAAGTTCTGCACTGACCGGTGACAATTTAAGACAATTTTCCTCTGATTTTTCTCTTTCCTCTCTCTGCACTGCCCAGTTCTGTGAGGTTTCATCCACCCCGCTTAAGTTTGGGAGCACTGCCTGACACATTACCAGACGCAGCTCAAAACCAGCCCGTACAATAACATTGCTCTGGATCTCCATCACCTTTTTGCCTATGTTGCTTGCCCAGACAGATCTGCTTCAGGTGAAATGCTAACACAATTCTTGCCAAAAAAGATATCCCCCCACTTTTTTCCAATTTAGCAAAAAGACAAAAAATATTGATGGGTTTGGTCTTCCTGGAATTTTCTCACACCCTTTCTAGGAAAAAGAAAGGACATATTTTTGCAATCCCATTATTACATGTGTGCATGGTTATAAGAAAATGCTCTGAAGGGACATCAAGCAAATAATACCAATTTTCAAAATTCTATAGCAATGTATTTATACAAATTACAGAATTCTGTATGTATTTACACACCATTACAGAATATCAAGTAAATAACACCAATTGTTCCTTTGTTTTTCCCTTAGATTTTTCTTCAAGTGAATTTTAGTGCTCAAGAAAGGTGCCAGATGGACAGCACTAGAAAATGAAGACTTGTGTTTGTCCCCAGCACAGGAGGAGAGGCACTGCAAGCCTCCCCGCTTTGCCATGTCAGCTCTCTCCAGCCCTGTTTTAGCAGGATCTCGTAAGGAGCGGGAGGGCAACCGTACCCTTTCATGCCTCGGCAAAGGAGCTAAGCAACACCCGGGTGACGATGGCTTTGCCCATCCACCCCCACCCCCGCCAGCAAACAAACAGAAATAACTCATTTTACACAAGGGACTGAACAGAATCTGTTGTTCGCTATCCAAAACAGGCTGAATTTGACCCAGTGAACCTGCAGGGAGTGGCAAACTGCCAGCTCCTGGACCATCCAGTCTCGCAATAATGCCTATGTTAAATTACATGTTTCTGTATTTACATAAAGTCAGTATTTACACAACATTATGGGTTATTTGAGTAAATCGGTTACAGTTTATTTATATGGACTGCCATAAACTCATAACATTTTTCTTGGGTTTAATCCTTTCTTTAGAAAAATACAAAAAAAAATAAATTAAATAAAACATGTTAACTAGTAGTAATGATTTGCCTATGACTAAAAATCCAAGTTGAGTTAACATTAAGACTCAAACCGTGGCCTAGTATTGTGGCCTCAACTCATAGGATTTTTAACCTTTGTGGTTAATTTCCCTGTTTATGTCAGATTTACTGAAAAAGCAGAGTTGTAACCCCCCCTTCTTGGGTAGGATGGATCTGTTTAACACTGAGCAATGAACCCTAGTCCTCCCCAGAAGCTCGCCACCTTCTCCTATGGTCCAGCACCGCTTTGCACCACCAGGACAAATGATTCAGCACCCGGTTGACCCACAGCAGCCAAACTGCCTGCAGGTCTCAGCAGCTCCCAAGGGTTAAAAACAAACTTGTGGGCTGCAGTCAAAGGCTGTAAATTCCCAGGCAATAACAGTCCCTAGACAAGTATGTCTACCTGTATCCTACAAATCAACTAACGTCATTTACGTGTCTTTATCATTCATAAACAATTATAATAAAATGCCACATTTTATTAAAGATTACTGATATCGCTGGTTGAGACGTGGCCCCTCCTACCTGCTCGAGTACTGAAGGGCCATGTTCGTTCAGGACACCAAGCCAGAGGTTATTCCAGAACAGAATTACATTTCAAACAATATGTATCGCATGGACGAGAGTGCCTGAGAGCAAAAAATACTTAATTACGAATAGGCTACAAACTTATGTGTAGCTCCTCCAGAGTCTATCTGTGCCGAACCTCCCTCTGCACACAGCCAGGGGTGGCAGGACCAGCCGCGCTCCCGGCAGATCCAATGGCAAAGGCTACACTCAACGGCACCGAATTCAAATCCTAAGGGATAAAGCAACTACAAAATGCATTTGTCATATGGACCTTACGTGATTTTTCTTTCTTTTTTTTTTTTTTCCTTCAGGGTACTGGGGAAAAAATGCCTCTTTCTAAGGGTTAATTCCCCAATGTTAACTGCTAATCAATGTGTTTGTGTGCTTAACATAAAATGCTACAATTCCTTAATTACATACTGTCAGCTCACTTACAGTTCATGAATATCTGAAGGTACTTTAGGGAAAAAAAAAAAAAAAAACCAAGTCTAATACTGTCCCCCTCATTGACATTATTGATAGAGATTTATTAGTTTCATTTTGCAAGTTTTACTTTAGGAAGGGTGCTAATATCGTGTATTATGACAGTTCGCACTGAAAGCAATTTTCCATAAAAGATGTTACAATGACCCCTATGGAACTCATATATTTTCATAGTAGATAGTCAAGTGCACAAATAAACATGTTTACAAGAGTGATCCTGTTAACCTGGTTCTTGCCCTCTGAAACCATTATGTGCTATTTGTGGAATCGTAAAATTAGTACAATTGTTGATATTACTTATGTTGTTTCTGGCATTCTGCTTTAGGAAAAAAAAAAAAAAAAGCATATTTATCATTTAGCTTTGGTATAATCTGCAATAGGTTTTAACAAGTAGAATATATTCCAACCCCTATATTTTCCACAGCTGTGAAGTTTACAATGATGTAAGAAGTCACTTTATCAGAGAGGAAATATTACAGACACAGAAAAAAAGTTGAAGACCCAGTTTTCTCTTTAATCCTCTGGGGGCAAGCTATGAAACAAGCAGTCAGAAGAGTGAGGACTCAGTGTCATGAGTGGTGTGCATACTTGTACAATAAAACGGGCACAAAAGAGATTGTCGCCTTTAGTACATGAGGGTCACTAGAATTTATTATTATTATTATTATTACCTTTTTATTGTTGTTTTTTTTTTTATCCATGCACCTTTATATTTACTTGCATGAATTTACCACAGGTTCATAGTGGCCTTTGCCATTTTAATGCTTACAGAGCCTAAAGCTTCCAAAATGCCTATCTGGCCTGTACATATTTCATTAAAAATAAACTCTATATAATAAATAAATATATAAAATAAATAAAATGTTGCCTTTGGAATTTCTATAAATAAATTTAACTTTTTATTTTTATTTTTTACTAAGAGGTCTTTGCTTTAAACTCAGTGGGGTGAGACCCACAGAGCAATTAACTGAAAAGTCTCTTGTTTAAGTAAGACTGCACCCTCCATGCCTTTGTAAATGCAGCGTACACTTGAGCAGGCCACCAGCCAAAAATCCGGATGAATCAAAGTATGGCAGCTATGCTGATATATGACGAAGTACAACTGATCAAAAATTTAAAAGCGTGTCTATTCCCCAGCATGCATCAGGCCTTCCTCCTCCTCCTCCTCCTCCTCGGCTCCTCTCTCGCGCGCTCTCACTCCCATTCATCCTCTCCCTTTCTCTCTCTCTCTCGCACTCACTCTCTCGCGCTCCCTCTCGTACTAAATCAAGCGAGTGGGCATAGGCTCTCCTCCAGGAGGACAAACCTTTAAGTGCAGAACAAAATCAGCATGTTCCATCCAAGCCTCCATCATACATTATGCATGCGACAAAGTTTGGCAACAGTGGAGCTGATGTGATGACACAGCTAATCAATAAGAACCCACCGCATGAAACCTTTATAGTGGTTACTTTTTAAGGGCTCAAGTGAAGGAATTGTCTTTGTCAACTTTGGCTTAAAATATCCTTATATAGTTCCGGTACTTTCTCAGGGTCCACTGGTCTAGGTAAAAAATGTGTAAATTTTTGATGCCGTTTAGTCCTAGTCCCTTCTCTTGGAGTCCCATCTTTATTTAACGCAACGTAGTATCGCCTTCCAGTGTCCACGTGTTTATATAGATTTGATGAATATGTGTTATACCAGTTTTCTTCAAACTGCTCTCTGAATACACACTCCTGGGTTAATTTTTCCTATGGAGAGAAAAGAAAAGGCAGTAAGAAGATAGACACAAAAATAATTTAAAAAATATGTTATAACTAATTGTTATTATTATTATATATTATATAATATAATATTATTTATTTTATATAATAAAGAATTTAAAATATTTTTAAAGAATTGCTGTTTTCACAGCTTGAAATCAGTACCTCCTTTCTCAATTTGCAAAATTAACCATTTCAATATTCCCAGTGCTAGCTAAGTAAAACCATTGCTGGGTATTTCATTAAGCAGTCACAAAGGCAGATAACTCTATGTAAAGCAAAAATGATTCTCCAAAAGCCTCATTGCCCAAATCAAAATAGCAATGGGGCTTTGAGCGACCTGGAAGCAGAAGGTGCCCCTGCCCAAGATAGAGGGGTTGGAACTAGATGGTCTTTGAGGTCCCTACCAACCCGAAAAATTCTATGATGCTGTGATTCTAAAACTGAAAACAGACATTTTAATTTCGGATCATTCCCAAGCAGTTCACGAGACATTACTGGACTTGTATAACAAACTCAAACAAACAGACATAAATAAAGAAAACTAGCACAGGTTTGCAGGACTGTTATACAATTTAGGGCCTTAAAATCTCTATGTCCTTTCATTGCATGGGGAACTCAATACATTTCAGTCATTTAAAAAGATACAAAATGAACCTTTCATTTGGTTCATTACTTGTATCATAGAACCACAACCTAAGAGACCTTCAAACAGAAGCACAAACCCCATGTGCTGAGATGAAATTAGGCAAGGAAACTCCTCCAGGCTTGCTTTATTAGGGTTGTCCTTGTGTCTTGTCCTACTGATGGGACCCACTGAAGAATCATAGAATAGTTATGGTTGGGAGAGACTTTTAAAGGTCATCTAGTCCAACTCCCCTGCAATGAGCAGGGACATCTTCAACCAGTTCAGGTTGCTCAGAGCCCGACCCAACCTGACCTGGAATGTTTCCAGGGATGGGGGATCTACGATCTCTCTGGGCAACCTGTGCCAGTGTTTCACCACCCTCGGTGTAGAATCATAGAATTGTCTAGGTTGGAAGGGTCCTTTAAGAGCACCAAGTCCAACCATCAGCCTAGCACTGCCAAAACCACCACTAAACCACATCTCTAAGCACCACATCTATCTGCCTTTTAAATACCTGCAGGGATGGCAACTCCACCACTTCCCTGGGCAGCCTGTTCCAATGCTTAACAACCCTTTCTGTGAAGAAATTTTTCCTAGTATCCAGTCTAAACCTCCCCTAGCATAACTTGAGGCCATTTCCTTTTGTCCTATCGCCTGTTACTTGGGAGAAGACACTGACCCCCCCCTCGCTACAACCTCCTTTCAGATAGTTGTAGAGAGCAATAAGGTCTCCCCTCAACCTCCTTTTCTCCAGGCTAAACACCACCAGTTCCCTCAGCCACTCCTCATAAGACTTGTTCTCCAGACCCCTCACCAGCTTCATTGCCCTTCTCCGGACATGCTCCAGCACCTCAATGTCTTTCTTGTAGTGAGGGGGCCAAATCTGAACACAGTATTCAAGGTGGGGCCTCACCAGTGTAAAAACTTTCTTCCCTGTACCTAGCCTAAATCTTCCCTCTTTTAGTTTAAAGACATTAAAGACATCAACCATTCATCAGATCCCCCTGCCACAGACTCCCACTCCTTCCAGTTCACCCACTTAGTCTGTGTGTACTCCTCTACATCGTTTTGGTCTAAATAGATGGGGTTTGACTAAAAAGCAGCCACTTGATAACTGGATTCATTTTAGGAAAGACACAAGTGACTGAGCAAGAAGACTGGAAAAAAGGTGGCAAGCTCTAGCATGGAAGAGCTGACAAAAAGATGGGAAAAATAAGCCTGGAAATATTATTTTCAGCTAGCAGAAAAAATTTAATAATGATAATTTTTTTTGTAACAAGAGTTCTCACTTGAATAGCACTCACATCAACCGAACAGCTTCAAGGTGAGGATCAATTTCTAATTATTACAAAATTATTACACAACACAGACTTCTATGCATGTGTTTTACAGACATTATATCTTAAAACGGTGCATTTACATAGATACACAGAGAAGGGAAAAATGGAGACCAAGGCCCAAATGCAGCAAAGCATTTACATCACCTAAGTTGTAAATGTGTGCCTGAACAAAACTAAGGAGCCACAGCTCAAGCTCCAGTGCCCCCAGGAAGCCACCATCCACAGCTTAATCCAGGAGCTTCCCAAAACCCACCATCACTGAAGCTTGCAGCTTGCCCTGGGGCTGCAGGTGCCTTTGGGGCCACCTCTGCTGCTCAGGACTCAGCTCAGAGCCCTTTCCCAAAGCAACATCCTTCAACCCAGATGTTTCCACTGCTGCTTTGCATGGCAAGCACGCTGCTCCCAGGATGGAGCTCCTCAGCCTACCAGGGTTGGGGACCAGGGTCCCAGCCAGGTCCAAGGAGCCCTACGCACCTTACAGGAGTCACTCAGGGACTACCCCACACAGGAAGAGCAACCCCTGCACAAGTCGGGAGAGCAAGTCAGCACCCCTCTGCACCCCTACGAACTGGCTACTGGGCACAAAACCAGGGCCCCAGTGCCTAAAGGTTTGGGATTTAGAGGTTTCTTCTAAATTCAACCTATGGAAACTCCCGTGGGCAAGAAAGGCAGCACATAAGCAGCTCCTGCCTTCACTTCTAGTGGGTATTGGGAACCTCATCACCACTCAGGAAGAAGAAACACTCCACAGGACCAGGTTTTGGATGTTAAACGCTTCAGTATTCACTATGGCAGCAGCCATGTCCCTGTGCGAATCCGAGTGGCTGCAGCATGCACAGTGGCAGGAGGAGCCTCTGGTGGAGGAGAAGCCGGGAGTCCCATCTCGCGCACCCTCTCCTTCACTTCGACCAGGAGACTTCCTTCCCTGCGGGTCCAGCTGAGCCGCGCATGTGGAAACACGAGCACGTGCGCAGGCCAGCTGTATATAACATTTTATTTTAGAGGCATTTCTGACTATAACATTTCTAATGTGCAAAGTAGCTCAAACACAGCAACATTCCATACCGGTTATAGGGAAAAGCAGCACAAATCTGTTTGTATTAAACCCTTATCTATGGGCCAGATTTTGCAGCCTCCTATTGATAATTGCTTCTATGTCCTTTGACAGGTAGAAACTGCAGCAGCAATGAATTTTACTGGACCTCAGCAGCAGCTGAAAGTTACACACATTTCAGAGCCCCTTGTACAGCCTCAGTGTACAAACTATTATAAAAACTATTCAGCTGCTGTGAAGATTGTCTTTAAGTACAGCTTTCATTAATGTTTTATTTTGCGTGAGGTTTAAAATCACTTTGTTTGCTTTAAGGCAGAAGCAGATGCTAAGGGGTATTATATGCTGGGCCTATAGGTCCACAGGGAAAGAGAAACTAACTCACATTGTTTTCCTGCTCTCAGAAGGCAATAGGATCACATGACAAGCACTGCAGAAGCACTCCCTGCTAAAAATAGCAACATTTTAGGAAGATATTTCAGTCCTGTCTTGAATTCATTAATTATTCACTTCATCTGCATTTTTTTTTTATCATCATCATAAATTTCTATCTTTGCAAGAACAGTACTTCCCCCCATGCCCTGAAGGAGAAATTTTAAAATAGCCTCTCTTTATCTGGCAGGTTTGATGGATCGTGGCAGTGCTGTGGTACACTTAACCAGCAGACCTGAATAAGGGGGTTTGCACTTTTCTGCACTCTGGATGAGTTCAATGGATTTCAAGCTTACAAATTCAATCTTTATTTTGCAAGCTTATCTTGTTTTTACTTCACATCCTCTTACAACACAGCTACATCTCTTTTGTCCTTCAGCAAAATTCTCAAAAATTCATGTATAGACAGTAGGCAAATACTTCAACATGAACTTGACAAAGCAATTGGGATGCAGGTTCAGATACGTAGGGACACTAACACTAACAATCACACTTTCAGAGAAGTGAAATATTTTCTTTATAAATTCGTCAAACCATTTCCTTCTAGGAGACCTAGAAATTCTGGTTATAGTCAAAGACTACAGGAGAAAATAAGTGCTGGTGACTTTGGATCAGGCCCTGTAAATAATGTGGGGACCAAAATCCCAGCATATCCTTCTTCCCATGCCCTGGGAGATCCTTACAATAGTGTCTCACCTAATACCATTACAGACAGAAAACAATACCCACTGCAATAATCACCTATGTAGAATCATAGAATCACAGAATCGTTTAGGTTGGAAAAGACCTTTAAGATCACCAAGCCCAACTATCAACATAGTACTGCCAAAACCACCACCAAACCATGTCTCTAAGCACCACATCTATCTGCCTTTTAAATACCTGCAGGGATGGCAACTCCACCACTTCCCTGGGCAGCCTGTTCCAATGCTTAACAACCCTTTCTGTGAAGAAATTTTTCCTAGTATCCAGTCTAAACCTCCCCCAGCATAACTTGAGGCCATTTCCTTTTGTCCTATCGCCTGTTACTTGGGAGAAGACACTGACCCCCACCTCGCTACAACCTCCTTTCAGATAGTTGTAGAGAGCAATAAGGTCTCCCCTCAGCCTCCTTTTCTCCAGGCTAAACACCACCAGTTCCCTCAGCCACTCCTCATAAGACATTAATCTAACACTGCCAAGTCCACCACTAAACCATGTATTACCACAACACTACTTAACACTACCTTACACTCATGTTTTGAGCCCACATGCCTTTATTCAAGCCAGAAACAAGCATAATACAGGGGTGAGGCTGGTCCATCCTGTCAACAAACACTTTCTCGCCTCACCAGCTTAGGTTGGGAAAGTCTTGCTGAAAGCCAACTCTCCCAGTATGGCAATGAGACACTGTTTCCCGATCACAAGTGGCTTACATTTCCCCTTCTGGCTATGACTTTTAGAAAGTCCCTGTACACTCAATTGAAAAGCAAGATTTAGCCCTAGAATACAACAATTTTGGCCTACTTTTATTCTAGCAACTGACTTCTCTATCATT